CTTATTTATACACTTTAAAGTACTTTTTAAGAACGCAAAATTACACAAGTAAAAAACATTACAAATATCATTTCTAGCTTCGAAAGAGCACTAGAAAGTTAACTCTAAATTTAATCTCTTATAATCTCTTATTTAGAAAAGTTAGCTTAGGCACGACTTTTTGAAATAAGTAAAGAAAAAAAGCCTCATCTGAATTTTAAAGTGTACTGAAAAAACAGTTACTAACAAAACAACCGGCTTACTTTTTTAAAGATTGAGTTGTCAGGTTAGGTGTTTGAAGCAAGACAAGCTTGTTCGTGTGAAAGATCTTGGTTTCATATTTAAGATATTCTTGGTTTGTCAAAGCGTACTTTGGTTTATTGACTATAAATACGAATCTAGATTTATAAATCGTAGGTTGGTGATTCAGGTTTTGTTGTAGTAGTAAACACCGCTTTTACCTACTTCTATATGTGTTTTCCTATTTTTTATACGTATATAATTCAATAAACCATGTGTATTTGCAGATTATATAAATTTTTTTCTTGAAGTTTTCGTTCCTAGTACCATAATATTATTAAATAACGAATTGCAAATTACGTGATTTGATTGGCTAATAATCACATGTAGATCTACAAATTGATCTACAAAACTAGCCAATCAGACAAATTTCAGCCCATGAATTGAGATATAACAATAATTACTTTACTATAAACGAAAATATGGCCCAAATAGTTTTTTGTTTCACGTGCAAAAAAGTAAATTTTGTCATACATAGTTTGCTTAATGACGACCTTTATTGCTTTTATTGTTATGTAGTTCATAGATTAATACTACGCATAGCAAAATCTGTATAAGAAGCTTATCTATTAAAATTTTATAAGAGTAAATCTATTTGCTACCAGCGGTTAGTTACCAAGCAAATCAGATTGCACGATTAACCAGCTTGGGGTTGAGTGTGGAGAAGCATTTGCAGATGCGCTTTGCGAAATAATAGATTAATGTCTTTATAAACTATAATTTATTTTAATTCCAACACATTTCTATATCATGTTGAACCTCTAAACGAGAAATAAAAGCATTAGCAGGTGCTATTTGTGAAACATCAATGCGAAATAATAGATGCCGTTAAAAGACAAAGTTAAAATTTTAATTCAAGATGCATATCAAAAACTGAACAAATAAAATGTATGTTCTATAATCCTGAATCCAAAAAGTAATGAAACTCTACTAAATACTGTACTTGAATCAAAAATTTTAAATATGATGAGAAATGGATCCTATACCTAATAAAACCATCTAATGTAATTCAAACTAGAAATCCAACCTAAATTAACAGTACAAAGGACAAATATATAAGTGCTAATATTAAACAAACAAGTGGTTTTATTAAGAGATCTTGACAGAATAAATGAAGACAATGTGACCATTGTTTACAAAAGTACCAAATTTTACAAGGTTAATAATCATTACTAAAACTAATAATAGACTACAACAAATGAAATTAATAAACAAATAAAGTACGTGTTTAATAATATCATGAGATCCCAATTGGGCAGAGTTAAAAATAGAAAACTCAGCTTCAAATTGAACTGAAAAATATAAAATAATTAATACTTGAAAAATGTAATCAGAAATAGATATAGATAAAATTTTAAAATTTAATGCTATATTTACCATATAAACAAAGCCATCCGACATAGTTCATATAAGAAAATAAACTTGTGTTAATTAATAAATGACAAATATTCATCAAAATTACAATTCTTATAGATAACACTAAACTTATCAAAAACTCGTTATTGCACAATAAAGTAAGTATTGCAGAAAAGCAAAAGATTAAAAAATTAAATTAGCAGACATTAATTACATCTCTGCGGCTGTAAAATTACAAAAAGTGATTAGCATAATATTAAATCAAACCAAATCAAACAACAAAATAGATTTTACAGGTCATCAGAGAAAGAAATTATTTCAATCAAAGGTCCAACTGAAAGTCCTAGCATGAATGCTAATGCTTAAAAATATGAATCTAAATATATCAGAAGCTGAAAATTTTAGAAATAATAGTATTATTAAAGAAATTAAACATACAAATAACAAATAGTAACGTAATGTTCTATTGTAATGTGTCTCGATGGCGATAATGCGCATTAACCAGAGACTTACTAAAGGTGGAATATAACTTCCCTAAAGTAATTAAATAATAATTTTTAAGTAATAATTTCATATCGATATGATTTAAAAAAATAAATTTGGTATAAACATACTTTAATAAGGTATAAGCCAGTATAAGCTCCAGAAGCAGCCAAAAAACAAAGGCTTCCAAAAGTTAGGTAAACCATGTTCAAATAATGTTGAACAGACTTGTTTAGGTTATTTACATTCGCAAAGGCACCAGAAACTCGACTAAGATTTTGTAAATTCATTATTTTATTTTGAATTACTGAACAAAATGGCTTGTTTTATAATTTTTTTACCGTCACCAAATTTTTTAGAATAGCAAAATTAATTAGTATATTAAACATGTTTTACTAATCTATATATAGTACCTTGATTAAAGCTACAATAATACAGTATATAATAACTAAATGGTTATTGTATATAATAACTAAATGGTTATCGTATATATAACTAAATGGTTATCGTATATAATAACTAAATGGTTATCGTATATATAACTAAATGGTTATCGTATTTTAATTGGATAACAACAAGTTTATTGTATCACTATTATTCATATAGATTATCAAAAACTAACAACTAATAGCGATAGTATTATCAAATGCATGCGTTCTATATCGATACTGTATTAAAAGTTATGTTAATATATTAAATAAATTATGCAGTATATATTTGTTCACTGATAACTTTATGTAAGTTCTTTCAACAAAAAATTATATATCAAAAATGTATTCATTTTAAGATCACGTGTAAACCTTTTTAAATAAAGAGAAAACCAAACTTTAGAATTATATTGAAAAAATCTACGAGTAAATTCTCTTGAAAGATTCTTAACCTTTAATCGAAATATTTTTCTATAAAGAATGTATTCTCTTGTCGGTTCTATCACATGTTTATCGAATGAAATTCTTTTTGAAATATTTGAATGCCTAAATAGTAATTACAAAACCTTATTTTCATGTCTTCTTGTAAACCGTTACTTGTGTATTGATATTATGGAGAGCACCATGGTTTTTAAAGTTAAAGTCATCGAAATCTGTCTTCTAGAGCTAAATGCTGATGAACAAGCACTATTAGTTCCGTTTAAAATCAACTTTCCAGAAAATAATCCGACACCATTATTTGGATATACAAGTTTTATTAATTCTATTGACGGTCAGCATTTGAGCAGAGGAGTGATAAATTTCCTTAAAGGATGCGAAAAAAATTATCTCATAATAGCTGTTAAACATTCTTTGAATTTAATGTTTCTACAAAAAAGTGAGAAGCTTAACACTTTAAGTCTTTTAAATAATAAACTTGGTTCTTTTGAAGGAAAAGCAATATCAAATGCTCTTTTCAAAAACAACAGTTTAATTTATTTGAATCTTTCATATAATCAGCTTGGCTCTGATGTAGAAAAATCATTAGCAAACGCTCTTTGCACAAACAATACGTTAACTACTTTAGACCTTTACCGTAACCAACTTGGATGTGAGGGTGAAGAAGCATTAGCAAATGCCCTTCTCAAAAACAACACTTTAACCTTTTTAGATCTTTCAAATAATAACCTTGGTTTGTTAGGAGGAAACGCGTTAGCAAATGCTCTTTGCAAGAACAATACATTAACTACTTTAGTTCCTTTCCAATAATAAATTTGGTCCCGATGTTAGAAAAGCGCTAGCAGACGCTCTTTGCAAGAACGGCACTTTAACTTCTTTAGGCCTTTCAAATAACGACCTTGGTTCTTACGGGGGAAGAGCAATAGCAGATGCTCTTTTCCAAAACAACAGTTTAATTTATTTAAATCTTTCATCCAATCAGATGAAGGAAAAGCATTGGCAAATGCCCTTTGCAAAAATAATACGCTAACTACTTTATAAACATTTAACTTTTTTAAAAAGAATTTTACTATTAGCAATTCTTCGGATAACATAGTGATGATCATCGGGCCAATAGGACCAAAACTTAAGTTCGAAAAAATATCTAAGATGGTTGATATAGCTGATTATTAAAGTTTGACCTAAGTGCTAGATTAAACTTTAATGAATTAGCTATATCAACCCGTCTTAGGTATTTTTTCGAACTTAAGTTTTGGTCCTATTGGCCCGAGGATCACGTCACTGACAAATTTTTGCGGCATCACTATGTTATCCCTTTACCTTATAAGTTTATAAAGAAACTTTATTTTTTTTCTTAAGCATTCAAGATTCTTATAGATAATAACCACTTTTTTGTCGAAAACCTTCTAAACATTTTTATGGGTTAACATTTAGCTATAATTAATAGTCAACTTAATTAGGCAAGGATTATTATTTATTGTAAATCTGATGCGTTGTTTGTTCATTGTTATAACCATTAAGTTTATTGTTATGACTACGGATTGCATCCTTTTTTGGTTAGAATTGTTAACGTTAACGTAATACGTAAAAGGTTAACATAATAAAGTTTAAGATCTTCAGGTCATTGTAAAAGTAGAAAAAGTAGACCAATAAACTGCGCAATCACGGTCCTTTTGTTAACAGAAAAGTAAAACAATTATCGAGTATTAACTTTTTATTCTAATAATAAGATTTGATCTCTGAGAAATAATTCTAAACTAGGATCTTGGCTTATACGAAGGGCTCACAAGTTAAATTTGATTAAAAATGCCTTCATTGAACGAATGTTTATGCGGTTCATGAAAATGAGAATGTTTATTATTTGGTAAAACAAGGATATCAGGCATGTATCAAAAATTTCTATTACGTAAGCTAGTGGCATTACTAAAACTTTTATTAAGATGAGAGCTTTGGTGACTATGATCTATATATATATAAATCTTCGGTATTTTGATTGCGTTCTGACACTTTTTAATAATGTCGTTACGATGTAAGGAAATTGAAAACATTATTAATAAGATTTTTACAAAACCCAAAGAAATTGATGAATTTAATGTCACAGAATCAAAAACCTTTCTTTCTTTATATCAACTAATTGATCCCAATAGCAGCAGAAGAAAAAAAACTAAGCCTAATCCGCCAAGGGCACAAAACGGTTTCGTAATCTTTCGAAGAGACTTTACTGCTTATTGGATTTACCTAAAGCAACAGAACAGCAATATAAAAGAAATTTCACAAATCACCAGTAAGTTATAGCGAGGTGAAATTTGTAATTTCAAGTTATGGAAAAACATTAATGTTTATGAAATAAAAACGATTTACGATAAAGTATCTGAAATTGCCAAAAGGGTTCATGGTAATTTGTTCCCAAATTACAGATATAGTCCTAAAAGAAAATGTTTAAATGGATTAAATCTATTATTTCAAAAACATATTTCACATTATGTACCATACAATTATGCACCTTACAATTATATTCAACATCTTGATATTAATAGTGCATCATATTATGCCCCTTACAATATTCAACAACTTGATATTAATAGTGCATCAAATTATAAGCCTTGCTATTATATTCAGCAACTTGATATTAATTTAAAAAATTTTACAAATGAAACAATTAATAATCATCAAAAAAACATGTTAAAATTATTTGAATTATGTAAATAGCACCTAATCATCAATGTAATATAAGTATCCAATGTTAATAAATGTCACAGATCATAATTTAAAATGAAATCTACACTTTCTACTCAACCTGTTAACCTTCTAAAACCTACTTATACTTGTTTATTATAACTTTATTTTATAACCAACCCCTAACCCTAACCTCTATTCCTAAAAAATGCACCCCAAAAAATTTTATTTTTCGAGATTTTATATTATAATTTCATTTTAATCTGAATTTCATTATAATCTGCCACAATAAATGGTTCATTAATTTTCTTTTTTGCTTTGTAGATTTCATAACTACTAAGCAAAAAAAGGGCCAATTACTAACTAATAACAATCTTAACGATATTGTTTTTTCTTTCTTTAAGAACTTCTGAAACATCTGAAACATGAATTGCCGTACAAGCAAATTCTATTGTGATGACTTTCTAATTATGCCTGCAACATTTAGCACTTTCATTTATCTCGTTGTGCTCATTAAGCAAATATCTGTCCATAGAAAAACATGAAAAAAGTTAATTTATATTATTACATTTGCAAGATAACAATTAAATAAAAAACATTTATTAAAATCTTTGATTAATATCGCAACAATAAAATAATTTTTGCATTAAATTCTTTTGAGATCTTTATTTTCTTGGAATACGCATAACTAGTTCTTCTTTCATTTTTATTTCAACTAAATTTATAAATAGATTATTTATAGTGCTTATAGGTATCTTGTGGTTATAAAAGTAATAACAATTTTTTCTAATGAAAGGTTTTCTTCAGATGGTTCTTCGCCTCTTTTATTCTTGTAAGACAAATGCATAAAATCTTTAGCAAATTTGTTATGTGTATTTCTAGCTTATCTTTCATTTAATATGACAACTCTGATAAGGCTATTATTGAATACTTTTCATCAACGGTAGTGGCCGCATACTGATTATGCAACTTGAAAGGAAGTTCTTCTATATGGACACGCTTTTTTTAGAGAAGTTACATGACGTCTGCATAATGTAGAGGCAAAATCGCTGCTTTGATGTCGCATTTGTTACAAACCACGTAAAATTTTCTATCGCCAGGAGGAGGAGCATAAGTGTAGACATCATCATCTTGTTTTATTACAATAGCAATATATTTTTCTGGATCGAACAGTTGCTGCTGAATTATTGTTGATTACCATAACGGCTCTTGTGTTTTTGAAATAAAGAAAAGTTAAGATGAAGCTAATTAAACTACAAATTTGTGCTCTTTTATAGTTTATAGCAAATTGTTTTTATTATTAAAACTAACCAAAGAGAGTTGGAGTTTATGTATAAATATTTTGAATGGATCATATCTCTAGTTGTCAATCAAAAAAAAAAAAGACTATGTCATATTGTAAACATAAAAAAGAATACAATAACCATGCTTCCACGAAGAAGCAATTTAAATTCATAAAGTATTACTTGCCACAAAATATTTATCAAATTTTTTATCAATTCATGAAGCAATTTCAGCTGCATGTACAGTACATTAATAACTGTTGAGAATAGCTCAATTGCTCTTGTTTGTAATTTCTACATCTACTTCCAGACATTTGAAAATATCTAATAAGAAGTAAGCTGTTTTGTAAAGTAGTCTTTAAAGATAGGAAAATTTTCACGAGATCAAAATTTAGAATCAGATGGTAAGTCTCATTAATTAGAGAAAGCTCTTTTTAAAAGATAAATTTCATTCTTTTTCAGTACTATTTGCTTGCAACACAATTTTTATACTGTAATATCTGATCGTGATGCAATCAAAAAACTGAATACTATAAATGAAAGCTAAAGCCACCAGATTAAAACACGTCATAGTATTTCAGCATCAGTGGATGCTGAAATAAGTCACATGATTAGGTAAGTATCGATACTAATAGCCTTATTGTTATGTCTTAAATCTACTATGTAAATGTTCGATGGATTTTAACATACGTATCAATAATAATCAATACTAAGTATGACAACTCTATTCGTAACTCTAGTAAACATAATTATGGTAAATATAATTTTGGTTGGTAACATGGATTTCAAGAAAATTTCACACGTGATATATAGTACCAGCACTATGAAAAACTCAGCTAGCATTATTGAACTACAGTAGAATATTACCTGGGGTATTTTGTAAAGAATGTATATTAGTCTATTAGGAAAACTCTTTTTATTATTAAATTAGCCATTGATTTATGCTGGGTCTCTTACAAAACGTTACAACAAGTAACCCTTGAAACATATTACAATGAGTAACCATTACACGGTAATTTAATGATAATTTTTTGAAACAAAAATTTAGGCCAAAAATTACTCCTAATGAAATCACGGCCGTTGTGAAAAGGTAAATTTACAACCCCGATAAATTACTGCAGTTGTTGGGTAACACGATCATGGAGATCTCGGATATCCCGGATATCCTAGAGATCCCAAGGATATTCGATATATTAAGGATAACAGTGATCTCTGAGATCTCCAAGATATTAGTTATCTCTCGGATAGCGAGGATAATGGATATAACAGAGATATTAGATATATTAGATATTAGCGATATATTAGATATCTCGGTATATGTAAAATCATGCATATAAGCAGCGCTAAATCACCTTGAATAAAAAAGGACGGAACAACTGATAGAGTTTGGAAAACTCAGTTAGAGTTCAACATTGAAAAGTGTTGTCTCTACTAATTCCCCCCCAATAAGTAAAAAATTGATACACGATAGGAATTAGTAACCGAATCCTGTGAGTTCTATTAAGAGACCCGTGATGTAATCGAGCTCTAATCTAACACCCTAGTTACTCGGACCAAGTCTTTCCACGCCTCGATCGTAGCCTTGCCATTATTAGGGTTGGATTAGAGTAGTTTGGTTAGGTTTTAGTATTGTATATTGTGATTATTTAGATTTAGTGCATTTTCCGCACTTTCTCACCGTCCACTGGTCGATGCTGGATTGGTTAGCTAACGTTCTTGTTTCAATAAATAACCTTCGTATCCGGAATATTCCACTTTGGCTGAAAAATAGTGTGGAGCAATCAAAGCTTAGATATTAACCGGTTTTTATATAATATTTATTGAATTTTGTTTAGTTCGAGAAATATTAACTAGAACATAACTCTAGAGGGGAAAATAATAATGATTTGATGCATTATATTTATTAGAATCAAGAGTAACAACGAACTTTTTGTTGCGTGACAAAAGGTTCGAAGTTACTCTTTTGGCTTTAATAAATATAATGCATCAAAAACGTAACTTTTGCACAGCAATGAAATTAAGTGTGTAATACGATCTAAAGGTAAAAAATCTATTTTTTAATTATTCAAATAAGTAGTTGGAATCCTTATATTCGAAACAGTAACACTATGTACAAAATATTTAAATAATTTAAATCATGACCAAATTTAATTCACTAGGAACTGGAAACCGGAGCTCATAATTTTAGTATAAATGAATCAAAAACGTAATTTCGGCCATCAAAGCGCTACGCTCCGGACAATAATTGATTGTCGATCCCTTAATCTGATATATATTGCATAAAGATTAAATCGATACGGAAATCTTCATTCCTCTTTCGCCAAAAAAAACATGCGTAATTCTTGTTTTTTATTATTTTCTGAGAATATTTCAAATATATATAATATGTAATCAACATACGAAGCATTGAAAACGTTCGCTAGGTAAGAATTATGAATGAAATTGCGTTATATGATTCAATGATGTTTGATGCTTTGTCCGTTAGACTGAGAAACGTTATGCAGCTGCATAACAGTTTAGTGGTCTATCGTTCGATTCGTCTAAAATTCAAAGAACACTGTGCAGCAGT